GATATATTTACAGTAAAGATGAACATTGCGATATCAAATTAACATATCGGTGTTAAATAATAGTACTTAATTTTTAATTATTTTAATTGATCGATTTCTAAGCGACTTTCCCGCGCATATAAAATGAAACAGCGCGCGAAATCGTAATTGCAGGCAGCAACGCAAACTTTTATTTATATTACGTGTATAAATCCTTCACACGCTTAAACGAAATTAATCATCTTAAACGCCGTTAGAGATAATACAATTCACAACTTGGAATTTTTATTATCACAACAGTGTTTGAAAATTCTTTTCTGCGACAATTTCAAGATTAATCGGTACGAGATTACAGTATAAAAATTTTAAAGTTTCCGTGTACTTAAATTCGCTGAAAAAACTGCAGTAGAACTCGTTGTGTAGGCTGTACTTTGTGAAATGACATTGTTTCAACGAAATGAGCAAATTAACTTGCTTGACAACTCTCTGCACGCAGTTTTATGATACATTCAAACGCCGAGTTTATCCGTGAAAGCGTGCACTCTCGTCTCTGTGGGCGAATTTCGCTTGCTATGCGAACAGCTCAAAACAAAGGTGCATTTCTAGTCCTCCCTCTCATCCAACCTCACTCTTTTCACTATTTTACGATATTCGTTTGGTGTGTGCGCGACAATAATATATTCTGAACGGCCAATAATGCTTTTAAGCGTCTATGAAGCGTCGCAATTAAACGTTGATTTACTTGGTAGAGCAACTGCGACCGCTTCCGCTTTTTTTTTCCCTCGCTTTTACGAGTAGCTGTCGACGTGTTTTTCTCGCTCAAAAATTATTCCGCTAAGTGCAGCTGTTTGTGTTGTTCGGAACATCGTGCGGTTTTCAAATTCAGCATAATAGATTAAGCAGCAGAACATTTACAATAGCATTATCCGTGAGACTTTCAATTCTTCCAGGCTCTGCGGGAATTTTCAATATAATTATTAAAATATTAAAATCAAATGACATATTAGGACTGATCGGAATTCCAATCATGTTACTGTCGGAGCAATTAAATTTTTAATGTTACACTCTTTGGCATAGAGCTTCATTTCTCCCGATAAAATCCACTTAAATATGTAATGAAACTCTGCGATATTCTTTCATTAAAAAGTTCAATTTCCTTACCACCGCTCTGTGTATAAATTCACTATTGACATTTCACTCTCTATACAGCCTTCTGTATATGATGGATAAGAAAATAATAAATAATGATAGAAAAATCAGTCACAAATCACAAAACTGAATGTGCAACATTTAAATAACACATAACATTTATTATTGCTATTGTAAAGAAATTTTTTACCGATTTGACTAGGTATATTTGAATTAGAGTATAAATAATTAAGAGACATCTCAGGCAAAAGGAAAAGCAATTAAATTGTTTGTTGAAATCTTAACTACATTCTTAATTACTAAATTCATCAATGTCGTCCGATGACCAGGCGATCCAAAATTCACACGAATTATTCATGAATTGATAAATTACTTGTTACCTTCCTATTTAATCCCGAAATTCATTATTAAACTCAATATTACGATCATTGAACATTAATTTGTTCAATGCTTGAACATTAATTTGTTCAAATGCTTGAACGAAACTAAACTGCACTTAGAGAGCTTTTATTCACGATATATTTATACGATGCATAATTAAAAGTAAGCTGGCCGGCGCGATTAGCTGAGAATGCAGGAACTTTTTTCGCTTAGAGTAATAGATTAAGCGTATCCTTACCTCGGTTAAGCGATTTACGTGTCTTGCATGTCCTTAAAGCTATTCTCACGGCTCTAATCTTTATTGAACCAAATCCCAGTTACGTGGGATCTGCACGCTTTCCATGTAAACGTCACGTAATGAAAGGAAAGAAAAGTGTCCGGCAGTCTTTTGGGAAATCGAGCAAAATGAATAAACCAGTACGGATAACGAATGTAAGATGCAGGCGAAATGTATTACGCGACCGCGATTGTTTACTTTAGTATATCGCAATACAGTAAATAGAACAGATTTCTAGATAGCAATCTCAGTATTTGACTTTGCACAACGTAACGAAGTTACAAATAAAAATCACCAATATTTGAAGAATTGTGTACGCGCGCGCGCGTGCATGTGTGTTTACATGTATGTGCAGTTATGTATAAAATATATATTTCAAGTTTTCTCTTCTTTTTTTCTCAGTTACAGATTTTTTAGTACAATCTCAAGTCGATTTTGTCGAGACTTTATCCGAACGCTTTGTATATATATATATATATATATATTATTCGGGCAAAGCCCGAAGGATCGGCAATCCTAAGATTGCCTAGGCAAAGTTAAAATTGTTAAGATCGTTTTAGGCGAAAAATCCAAAATGTTTATTTATTATTTATTTTTTTATTTGTCTAAATCGCTTTAGGTAATTTTGCCTAAATTGTTATCGGGCAAAGTCGGAAATAAAGTTTTACTTCAAACATTGCCTACTGAACCGCTTTGAGCAATCTTAAGGTTGCCTTAATTGTTTTCAGGCAAAGTCCGAAATAAAGTTTTATTTCGGACTTAATGATCTTAATTTTACATAGGCAGTCTTAGGATTGCCGATCCTTTAGGCTTTACGGTAACATATATATATACACGAAATTGTAAATATTATAAAAGTGAGAGATGTGCTTCATCGTGAACGAGAAAGACCTATATTTGTTTTCTCTCGAAGAATTTTGTCGCGTGTGAGAGGATGTTGCGAGTCGAATTCATATTTATTTTATTCATATTTATAAAATATTTAATTAAAAAGCGATTTACGCACGTAAACGAGTTAACTAGATCTATGGCGCCACAAGTTTCGAAAGGCTTGAGGCAATAATATGGATAACCGAATTGGCTCTTCTCCCATAAATGCTTCGTTCAATAATCGTGCAATAATCGGAAAATTATGATCATGTTACAAAAACATAGGATCAAACATGCTAATATGAGCTAATAACAAGTTTACATTAATCTGGTTTTACGCATGATATCAGCTTACGTGATTAGTCTGTAGAAATAAAGCAAACGCAGTACAATATCGATTACAAGTAATCGATACAAACATTATCACGACAATTATGAAAATTCTATGAATGTAAAACTGTAAAAAAAACTCGATATTAGTTGGGCGTAACATCGGTGAAAGGCAACGGATAGAGAAAGAAATAGTGCGATGAAAAGAAGGAAAATTACTAATTATACCAAAGATAGTAGTAAATAGCGATTACATGCAAGTTTGTTCTCAAAGAAAAAGAAGAAAAGTACGGCGATCTCAGATGGAAATGAAAAAAAATAGTTGAAGGGTGAAAAAGAAGTTAAGGAGATCCGTAATTTTACATTAGCGTGTACCAAGTTTAATTCTCACCTTTTCATTATTTTCTTTTTTGGCTTAATTTTTTTATTAATATCAAAAACTATTCAAGCTTTTATTTTTTTATACTATGTCACATTTAAAAAGAATTATTTTATTCCTATTATTCACTGGTATTTAGAATAAAAAATATTAAAAGGCAATTTTCAAATTGGATTGTTTACTTTAGATAAAATTGTATTCTAATAATATTGAAAATTACATTCTGTACATTTGTACATTCTGTACATTTTTTTTATTGTCTTAAAAATAAATGTCCACTTCTAAAACGACTGGCTCAATTTTCTTTTTATTCTTAGTGATACATAATCTCGGTCATGACATAATTTTGATGATTGTTTTATATGTAGGAGATAGATAAAATTCGTTGAATTCGATTCCCTTTCTCCTCACTCTTCTCTCTCTTTCGCTCTGATTATTCTCTTTACACTTAGAAGGCAAAGAGTATTGAAGCGTATCTTCGATCTCGTCTGGATTTTCTCGAGCGCTCATTATTTTTATCATCGATTTATCTGCTGTTAGGTTATATAAAGGGGCCCATTTATGATCAATCATGTTGCGCAAACAATTTGTTGTACAACATAAATTTGGGCAAAATACGAAAGAGAAGAGAGTAGTCCAGAAAAGGACGAATCAGCACCATTCACTGTCAGTCAATTGCACAACGTGCAATATTGCGCAACATAATTGATCATAAATGAGCCCTTTAAGTCTTCCTGCTGTTTAACTTCTTCGTCCATGTTATATACATGTTATACATTCACATTAAGTTGAGTTAAAGCAGGGAAATTACTCCTTTCGTCACAACGAACATCGATTTTTATACTTTTTTTCTACCTTTTTAAATATATCGCTTTTTCTTGCCTGACTGCTCACTAAAACTGAGATATTTCCCAATTAACCTTCTGCAGTGCAGTTTTCCGTTCATTATCAGATAGACGGTGATAAAAAAGTTGTATTTATTATAATTAGATATAAGTAAGAAAAAGAGGAGTTAGAATAGAAGAGTTAGAAAAACAACAATTAAGAGTTCTACGTAAAAATGCACGAAAAGCATATATTTATTAAAAATTATTTTCTTATTTCAAAAAGAGAATGGAAAAAAAAACTAAAACTGAAATTACTGCAAAATGGAATTATTGTATTACTTTTGTTTAATCTTAAAAATAAATAAAAATGATAAATTAGTTCATTAATATCGTCGTCCAAATGTAAATATCTGTGATATTAAAGTATTTGTAAAGTTACACTGCAACTCCTATTTGAGTTTCCTGACATCGCAATTAAAGTATATTTGCATATTTAATTAGTATTTAATTAAAATAAACTATGTAGTATGCAAAGTTTAGATAGAAGTTAATGAATTTTAAGGATGATTTACATAGATGACATAATTTCTTTATAGATAAAAATATTTCGGACATTTAAAGCTCGTCGTTGTTGTTTATTTTTTTTTTCTGTAATAAAATGTATTTTTTCAACGTAATATGTGCATTTTTCGACAATGATAAAATTCGTTACATAAAAGAGCTTTGTATGAAACGTGTTCGAAATTATATATAACTGAAGAGATTTTGTTATGTTTTAATCTTCTCAATCCCCTTGATTTGGTTGCAGGTAGTAGTGCCAAAAAGGGCGGCTCTATTGTTTGACCAATTGATGGTAGCTCTGCAAAAGGTTGTCGATAACCAGGGAAAAGAAGCAGTTGGAGGTAGAGGTAGAGGTATAAACAGGTCTCATCTTTTAGCTGCCAACCCGGAAATTGTTTCTGCGACGGAGGATGATCAAACGGTACCGAATTCGGTAACTTTTAAACACAATTCTATCCGAGAAAAGTAGAACATTCTTATACTTACAGTTAGTTCGATCGAATAGTCGTTATTTCTAGTCGTTATTTGTTTGTAATTTATGTTTTTTTTTTGTTTTTTTTTTTTCCCTAGATGGATTTGCAACGACGCGGACAAGCTAAAGGCCAAGTTTACTGGCGCTGTTATTTCAACGCTGTTACATGCTTCAAGAGGAAGTGATAATGACCCCGCCACCGCCGCCAATTCTCCTCAGATCCCGAAGGCCAAAAGAGAGTGCGCCGTTTTCACATAATTTTCTTGATTTAGTTTTTGCAGTAACACGATGAGATTTGTAGCAGTGCTTTCCCGGCTAGAGTGTCAAGAAAACAAGTGAAAATCAGGAACCGTACAGTAGTACAAATCCGCGCAGTTACTCACATTTTGGAACGTCGGGTCAAATGGTTCTCTTCTTTCGGTGCGCTAAAGGATATCCTTGTCCTTCTTCTCAGCGACTATTGCCGTCCCATCTCTTCTATCGCGGATAATAAGCGACTTGTCGGGAAAGAATTACCTATATTACTTACTTTTTTCTGACTTATAAAGTAAATGGACGAAGGCCTATCCATTAAATAATTCTCTTCAAGCATATCAACCAAAATGAAGTAGTTCGGTATAAACCTAAATTACACAAACTTCTTTGATTTCTGTTTTGCGAAGTGAGTTACTCTTCTTAGATGTGTCCTAATATCCTCACCTTCTGTCCTGCTACTTTTTGTCCTTAGCTTTACTCAATGAACATATTAAGAAAATATACGGTTTTCACGATAATGTTTTATTGGAAACATACTTTATTTCGTAAATTTTTAAGATTAAAATAAAAATTCTTGCACTGTTGTCTTTTACAATTACATTTTGTAATACAACAAAGCTGAATTGCATTATTTGCTACATTGAAAGCAATATTGAATTATGACGCCAGAAGTGAGATACTGTGTGAATTTTTTTCTTGCAGTATATATATGTTAAAATAAATTAATTTCTTTGTATACCAACACGTTCGTTAGTATAGATCGGTATTATATATTCCTTTTTTTATTATTTTGCACTAATGAATACGAATATAATTCAATCTACATGTGTATTTTTCAAATTTTCAACAAGAATGAACTTTATGAAGATTAATTAAGATTTACAATTTTTTAAACGAGATTACAACTATTTATTAATCTATGAAACGAAAATCTTTAGTATATTTTACCAATTTGTATGCTATCAATATGCGAAGAAACTAATTTATTTGAATATATAGTGCAGGAAAACATTTGATATGATTTCTTATTCCTGATGATATAATTCAATATGACTGTAGCGAATTACCGAAAACTTTAATGCATACTATTATTGTAATTGACAATTGTCTCGATCTTGAAGATCGTATATACTAATGATATTTCCATTTAAAATTTACATTTTCTCGTTCTTTCAGTAGTAGAAGCGAGAAATTAGTCGATTAAGCGAAATTTATTCAAATATATCAGATAATTTGCAAATGAAAATATTTAGAGGTTTACTTAAACTGTTCAAACATAACATTATTATATATTATTATTATTATCATTATTATCATCATTATTATTATTATATCAAATAAAAAAATTATTCAGACACAAATCATACTTACTCGAGAAAACAGGTAATTATTTTATTAATAATTTTTTTTTTTACAAAAATAAAATGGGTTTTTTTAGCCATAAATGTAAGGCTGATAAAATTTGCCAACCTGTTATTTCTCAGGAAAAAATTCTAAATATATACACAATTTGATATAAAATACACATACAATCAAGAACTACGCAAACATTGATAAAACATTTAAGTATTCTTTATTTCGTATTTTCTTGGGTGGTACATTCGTTTGATTTCATTGCCTTCGATAGTCTTTCAAGGCACATTATCAATTCACAATGTTTGGTATGAGGAAACATATCCACTGCAATGGCTTTTACTGGCACCAAAGGTTCACCGAGATATTGCTTTGAACTAGGTCGTGCTAAATCAACTAGATTTCTCATGGCAGCACGAGGGTCGCATGATATGTACACCAATCTATTCAACTTTTTTACTTTGCGTAACGTCAATAACGCTTTTTGATCTAGAAAAAAATCAACACGCAGGTAAGTTGACATTTCTATAATACTGATACTCGTAATCTTACGTGCAACAATAAAATAATAAGAAATAACTTACGCAAGCCAGCACGTGGTGGATCCACAATGGCAATAATATTAGACTTTGTCGCCCTTTGAATGACAGGCGATAAAATGTCCTCCGCTTTTCCGACGAAAAATTCGCAATTGGTGATATTATTCTTGACAGCATTTTCCTTTGCATCCTTTATAGCGTCGGGCGTTACTTCTATTCCTAGTACTTCGCCACAATGCTGCAACAATCCATATTATATACGATATACACATGCCTTGAAACTTTATGATAATATCGACCATACCTTCGAAAAGCAGAGGCCTATGGTTCCAGTGCCGCAACACACATCAAGTAGCGATGTATCCATCGTGGGTTCAGCAAGACCAATCGCCGCTTTATATAAAACTTCTGCTCCTAATGTATTGACTTGAAAAAATGCTTGAGGCGAAACTTGAAATTTCATTCCAAGGAGCGTTTCCTCTATATATTCCGTACCACTGATATGATACAAAGTGTCGTTGCTTTCGCCACCTATACTCCTGCGAATTTAAATATTGTACAAGTAAAGATATACTGCAGTTTTATTTATATGATGTACTCACTTTTTATCCAACGTTTGAAAGTACAACGAAGTGACATGTGCGTCAACGCCTTTTCCCGTTTCGAAAAATATTCGCAGCTGTGACTTCAACTTTTCCAATTCGTCGCTGCTTAGTTCCTGAGCCTGTATTCCTACTATCAACATCAAATGATTGGCACGAGTAATTCGAGCGGTAACTTGTCTCCAATATCCGCTATGATTGACTGGATTGAAAGGCTCCAAGTTGGACTCGCGTATAAATGTTTCCAATATCTTAACATATAAAAATTTTATATATATACATACATTTTATAAATTTCAAACCTATTGCTCTTAATACCTGAAAAAAACCAACAACTAAAATTTACCTTTACCGCAACCTTCATACTCTCAGGAATGTGGCAAAGATCATCGATAGGCCCTACTGCAGTAGAACCTGAAGCGTAACTTGATAATCTAAACCCAATTATAACTTTGTTCTGTTCAGTATCTTTACCTATATTGTAAGAAATAAAAATATAAATTAAATTTGGCAATTTTAATAATTGTATAAATCTACAAAAATATGATAATAATTACCAATTGTAAACTCGCATTTGTTTCTATACGCTTCAGTAATATCTGTGGAAAGTATCGTCTGTAACTCACAAGGCAATCCGTCATATAATTTTCTTTGTGAAGTTATCCAATCTGTCAGCGCTTTACTTTCTTTAAGCATCTGTTGACCTATTTTTATCAGAATGGATTTCATTTCCTTCTGCTTGAGTTCTAGCTAAAAATATATAGAAAAGATTTAATAATTTTTAACAGTGATATATATATACATATATATATAAATCTCTTACTTGATTTGGATATGGCATATTCCATAAAGGAGTAGTAATAAATTTGATTTTATCCACAGGAGAACAATTTGAATCAGTCTTCAAACGTTTGTGATTAGACTCCTCTTCTTCCAATTTTCTTTTCACAAATGGATCTGGTGCTGGTTTAGCTACCTAAAAAAAACGATTTAAAATAAAATATCACTAAACTATTTTTAAGGGGATAGTTTAAATAAAAAATATTAAAGATACCTGTGCAGTGAGTTTACTATTTTTCCATAAAATACCATTTATAGTAGTTATCGCTCGTTGACGACATTCTTCATTTCTGAAGCATACATACAACCAACCGCTGCCTTTCCGGGGTGGTTTCACCTTGCATAATTGTAATTCTAACTTTTCATTTAGAAGCTTCTTGAATTCACCAATTCCATAATATTTTGGTAAACCGCGCACTTCTATTTTATATTTTTCAGATGTAAAATCCTCTCTATCGAGATACGCGTACGGATTTTTGTCGTTTTCTGTGACATTGGTTGTCGTTTCCGTGACATTTGCATCAGCCATTATGCAGGCTTTTTAAAATTGTATACGTAATTTAATAATATAATTTTAACTGTCAGATAAAGTAATTAAAATCAATGATGCTGTTAGACAATCTTACAGTTTACTCCAATTTTGTACAATGATATAAATGTAGAAAGAAAGCGCAATTAAACACGTGCTGCAAGCGTATTTAATTCTGACGTCGATTAGATGCAATTTAGCTAATTAATTAAACAATCGTAATGAAGGTAATAAAGAACGAAACTGATCACAAGAAAGCACATGTCGTTTTTTCGGCGGGGTTATGTGAACTTTTAAAGACTGTTTTCATTTTGATTTAAGTCATGGAAAATAGAAAATGAAGAGAATCATTGAATTACTCGAAAGAGGTTAGTCGAGACTCAAACACCACAGCACCGAGATTCAAACCAAGTTTTACCGATAGTTCGGCTACTGTTCGTTATTCTTGCCGTAATATCTATCAGAGAGCGTTAGTAGCGAGGAAATTTTTCGTGTCACACGAACTCCATCATTCATAATAAAGTTTATGACTAACAGAGAATGACAGCGACGAATGTTCGTTGATGTATAGATGTATCCGGTGTAACAATACGGTGTGTCGTTCGATATCGGCTTTGACAGATTAGCGGTTGTCTGTTAGTTTCCGGATTTCTAAAATATCCATAATTAAATTATTAGTGTTATGACACGCGTGCTGATATATCTGACGTAAAATCACAAAAAAAACTATCGAAATATGGACGCCGAGAACGACGAAGTGTCCCTGATGCAGCCCGAGACGGATGCATCAGCGCGAACGTCAACGCCAACCGAGAACCATAACCATAACAAAATTCGCAGGAGAAATGTACCGGAACCGACGAAGGAGGACAATGTAATCGATTCATGTGATCGTGTACCTCTCGTGATTCTGCCCGATTCCACTAAAGCGTGGTACAGTAGTGTTACGCCGCAACTTCCCAATGACGTGGCTACGTCGAATAAACAACAAAACGGGGTGCTGACTCACGAAGACGATCGTGACTCGAACGACAACGACTCTGGTGCAATGGACCTTTTTACCTCTCATGAGAAGATGAAGATAAGCGTTATTCGTGGTAGCATTGCCAAGCCAGATCTCACGCTAGGAGAACTAAGACTACTTGGCTGCAGTAGTGAAGGCTTCGTTAATGGTACTTTGCCAAGGTGACAGTACGTTATGATCAACAAGGAACCTCATGATAATTTTGTTCGAGACTTTACTAAAGGAATTTGACAATTTTCAATTCCTTCATAGTCATAATTTCTTTGCCTTTGGATATAAATGATTTTTTCGAAATTATCTTGCAATGTTGTTTATGTTTTTAAAAGATGGTTCCTTCTTGAGAATAATTTTATTCTCTTGTATTCAAATGTTGAAATCATAAAGATGATCTGTAGATGATATACGAAGGATACTATGGCCGAAACTCTTGAGACTAGTACAAGAAAAATTTGAGCCTGTGGATGGATTAGAAACTATACATACTTATATACCAAACGAGGTTTACCAACAGATATTAAAGGACGTAGCACGTAGTGGCAGTCATATTTCACATAATGCAACGGAAAAAGAAACTGAAAGTTTTCAAGAACAATTAACACAGCTCATGTGTTGGGTACTTCATAGACATTCTCAATTAAAGTTAGTACTTTTTATAATAAATTATACTTATTTTGTTATGATGTATGAAAAATTGTAACTTCTATTTTATTGTAATACAAAATAAAATAATGCATACTTAGTTACTACCAGGGATATAACGATGTGGCAGCAACTGTGTTACTTGTAATGGGATTGCAAGCAGGCTTATATGTACTCGAGAGTATATCTCTAGAATTCCTGGAAAGATTTATGGAAAAGACAATGGAAAAAGTAAATCAAGAGTTATTCTTCATATTCGCATTACTGGAACGAGTGCACCCAACACTTTTGGAACATTTAGAAAAGTTAGTAGCTACACATTAATTACATATTTTAAATTTTTATAAATTGTAGTAACTGTTATTTTTTATTTGGAGCATACTATTAAATTATACTCCAAATAAGTTCTGAAAATTTGGTTGCATCTTTATTTTATATATTTATTGAATAAAATTAATACTAATAATATAATTTTTCTTTTCTTTAGTGTAGAACTGTTTCCACACTTTGCTTTGGCTGAATATACAACATGGTACGCACACAAGTATGCAGAACATAGGAAATTGTTACATAGATTATTTGATTATTTCCTGGGTAGTCCGCCACTCATGCCTCTCTATTTGAGTACAGTAATTGTTGCACATAGAGCTACTGAAATCTTCAACACTACGCCTGATATGGGACATACGCATAAGGTATTGTGTACGGTAAGTGTAATTAACAAAACTTGATTGCAAAAAGAAGTATAATGAAATTATTTTAAGTTTACGTTTTTAGTTACCCGATGACTTGCCATTTGAAACACTTTTAGTAGAAGCAAGGGATTTATATCGACAATATCCTCCTGAATCTATCACTAACGATGTTAGAGATTATGATCATAAGAGGAAAATAAAAGAGCAAGAGTGGAAGGCAAAAGCAGAGGCAAGCCGTCAAGAGAGAGAAAGGCAACGAAAATTAAAAGTTGTCCAATCGACACCAAGGATATCTTATCGTATCAGAAGTTATAAAACCATCACTGTTATGACTATTTTGGTTTTGGGAATATATGCCTTTATAAGATCCTCCACAGGGCTTAACTGACATTAAGAGATATATCAGCCGTTGTAAAAAACTGGCATTTTTACACGTTTTTTAAAACAGAAATCCTCCATCTCTTTCATATGCCGCTAAACAGAAATTGAAGTGTCAAGGCTGAACAACTGAACTTCACCAAAGTAATAAAGGAACAAGAAGTATGTGTTGCTAGGATTAATTGAAAGATTTGGTTGTTAATATTTGAGCAAATCTGTTTTAGAATACATGAATCAGAATCTTGTGCATTCCTATGCTGCCTTTATGCTGTGTTCTTTGCAGGCTGATCTGAACTCTTGTGCGTGTTAATATTAAAAAAGAATCGCAAGTATGTAAAAAATGTAGAAAAACGGCAATTCTAAGTATTCAAATTGCTGAGAGCTCGAACGTGAAGTAATAAAACTGAACAGCATGTATGAAAACATTTCGTACATGTGATACATGTATATAAGAAATAAATAATAATATAATAGATTGTAATTATGTTGATATAATCCGTGATGAAGGAATTTTATGTATTTAATTAAAAAGGCAGAGAAAAATCATGATAATCATTACGATCAATAATAAAAATGTCTTGTTTTTCAATAATATTTATTTATCACTTGTTGAGTTCCTTATTTGTAATTATTTATATTACAAATTTACATTTAATTATACATTATGCTTATTAATATCATAAGGTGATGTCAGAAAATAATGTTGATGTCAATCTCTAAATTTACATATAGAATATTTGTTTGTTTTTTACATGAATATAATTTTGTGAGAACATTTTTAAGGAATTCTGATAAATGTTATAAATTTATTATCGCGAGTTTACTTATACCAAAGAAGGATGTTGTGCATCCGAATAATATTAAGATAATTTTGAAATTATAATAAAAATTTTAAAGAGTACATAGAGAGCTATCTCTCATATATTTCCTAGTTACAATAAATGCCTTGTAAATCTCTTGATTTTTAAATATTCTATATTCTGTCGTGTTCATTGCACTTTGAATTAATGTAAATATAATATTGGCATATGTTTTTAACTTGTAAACTCTAAAATTGAGATTCTATTGTTCTATTGTTCTATAAGTATGCTGTGTGTATAACTATATATATATAATATATATATAAATACTATTGTACAATACAGAAATATTTTCTAAGGAATATTATTACCGAATATTACTAGTCATGTGTTTACTTCATCACTGTTTGTTTCATGCGAGATCATGAGGTCGACATAGAAATTGATAAATATGTATATACACTGAGTATAAAAATATATGTGCAGAAGAACAAAATAGTATTATACTTATAAGACAAGCATAACCAGAGTTAATAGTATATCAGGAAGTATTGACATTTACAAAAATGCAACTGCACTACTTTATAAGTCTTCTTAATTGATATTTACTAGTATGTTGTGTGATGATATATTTTAATGAACAATAGTTCAATAGTTAACAAAAATATATTTTTAATTAAAATGTTGTATCTCTTGATTAATAAATTATTAAAAATGTAGATAAAATTATTTTTCTTAGCAAGCAAAAACTTCTTTCACCGCAATTTTTAATTCCTTGAAATTTTTAGTCTTATTTTTATATTGCATTTTTTCAGATTAATTTATATCAAGCCCATTAAATAAAAAAATGTTAAGAATGCTTAACAATATTATCTAATCTGTTGGATTTTTATCTCAAAGATATCAATAAAAATCATTTACATTCACGTCACGTTTTAAAATTGTCTTGATATATGCTAAAATGCTACTATTTTTTAGGATGTTAGTATGATCCACTCCAGGAAAACCTTGATAATAAATTTTTTGTTTTTGTGATTGTTGCCAATGTGCACATGCTTCCAAACTTCTTATATTTACAGTTCCATCTCCATTTCCAGAAACTAATTGAGGAGAACTATTTAAATCTTTTCCATTATAGAGCAACCTATATAAAAGTACATGTCAATTTTAAACAATCTCATTTTAAATCAAATGTCTATTTCAAGCATTTGAACGTTCTATATTGACAAAATTATATACAAACTTTTCTACAGTGTCCACATTGCTGCCATATAAACAATGCACTTCAACGCCTGGTGCTGTAAAATCCAATTGATATTTCTCGTTGTCTTTTCTAAACTCCCAAGCATTAGGAATGCCTATGTCTCTGTGCGAAAAAAATTAATATTCAAAATATTTGCAGATAATACATAATGGATATAATAGTTGTTCAAACAAATCCGTACATAAAATATTGTTGTAAATTATTCAATGTGTAATTTTTTACATCTGATTGTACCAAAATTTCTGTATCCTTCCAAAACAATTTTGAGGGTAACAGCCATCCTAAACTTGGACTTGTTATCTGTTCATTTCTTAATACACTTGGTCTAAGAAAATATGCACCTAAATCATCTCCTACAATAGACATAATAAATTCAACATGTAAGTTTTATATATAAAATAATACATTTAATAAAACAAATACTTCTGATAAAAGTTTTGCTTGTGCTACATTGATATATTGTCAATTCAATTTTATTAATTGATGATTAATTATTAATGATCATAAGCAACAATTTTACAACATACAAGATTGAAATACTTACCAATTGCAAATACTTTAATAGCCTTAACAGATCCTGCCCATACAGCGCTAAGCGTGATTAGAGCATTTACGTATTTATCTTTCCACTTCTGACTCTGACGTTGCAACATTATAAGAGTCATAGGTCCACCCATACTATGAGCCAGTAGTGTTACTGGTGTATTATTATTCATTATATACATTTCCTCCACCAGAGTTTTCAGCTTAATAAAGAATTCTTCGTTTTCGCCTGAAGTTCAAAGTCTGTATCTCGGTAAATTTGTAATGTGCATGGATAAAATACATGCCGCAAAATGCCTATTTACAATATATATTAAACTTATTTTTTGTACGTACTAGGTCCTTTTCTGAAATCATATGGTGCACCACGCAGTGATAAGTTCCTAACATATCCTAAATCATTCACCAACATATTTCCAATATCCTTGAAGTATGAGCCTGGCGAAGCTTTACTGGGATCTATATATTCAACTACAAACGGATCACCCCACCCTGGTATTCTTATCTCTACTCCAGGTTGATTGCTTGTAGTTCTCGTTACATTGTCATAACTTAATTTTAGATTATCAATCTGCAATAAATAAAATTTAAACTACAGTTCCAGATTATTCAGAAGCAAGAAGCTAAAAATATGTAAGACAAATACATACAAAGCAATCTATCACGTAGGGTACAAGCAGCTCCATATTCAGCCATAAGCTAAAATAATCCTCAGATACTTTCTGGCAAATATAATGCACTACCGATGACTTATTAATCTTTGCCTCGACTTGACTGCCGCCATCACCTGGAACTATATCATTTTCCTTCATGAATAAATATACTTTGCGTAATCAGAATATTTTGACATATCGACATTTCTATCTACTGTGTCGTTTAATAAACAAAAACTTCAATAAACGTTAAATAAAATACAAAGACTCTTATCGCTTTTCAAAATACGGATACAATTGAAATGACTCACCTAAAATAACAGGCGATATCTGTTTCGTTTTGGCGTGCCAGGGTCTCACCGATTGCACGGAGAGCAAGAGAACGATTATCGTGTTTAAGAGAACTGCCAAGTGCATTGTTCGTCGCAGCCACTATTATTAAAACAAAAACTCGGATTCCAAGAATTTGTATCGTATTTAATAGTACGCAGGTAAACTCGTAGCGACAAAACAATTTCTCGATTATTTTATCCTGGCTTGGAAGAAAAGAGTGAGTACACGTCAGTACCCGTCTGACAGCTTTATACTACTGTTTGTATCTAGTCGGACATGATCAGGCATGGTTAAGCATAATCAGCTGATACCGCGCACATGCGTCAGAATGGTCAGAATGCAATCTTTGTGGGGAGATGTCACGATCGACAATAGCCAATCGGAACGACGGACGAATGATTAGAATAAATATCAAAAGTCGGCCCGTTTTTCCAATTTGCTTAATCGACTGTAATCGCGTTTTTCTTTCGCAATGTTATAGAACGTATGTATAATATGTTTGGAATTTAAAAAAGATTTCTAAGTTTAAGCCGAGGAATGAGAAATAAGCTGGAAACAGTGTTCAATTTATTAACAAGTAAAAATAAAGAACTACGGAAAATTGACACACATACGCGCGCGCGCGCGCACATTTTGCATTATCAATTATTAAAATACAATTTACTTTGTAAGTGTTATAGCGTAACGTTCAAATAAAACATTTGGACTTACAGAGTCTGTCTGTATGGCACAAAAAAGTAATACTTTCTCATACCGAAAGTTAGGAAAGACAAACTAAAAAATTTTAAGAAACAGATCTCTACAATACTCCCGCATAGCAAGCATATTTGGGAAAGGTTCAAAAGACATCCCGAAAACATCGTATCTCTCAAAAATATCTTCGAGATGTCTTCTGGACGTCTTTTGGATATGCATGCTGTGTAGGCAGCATTGTAACAAATAATAATTTTAAAATATTTAGCATGTATAATGGTATAATGATACGAATTATTTCTACGTAAATATATACAACATACAACGTAAAACAAACATTTTATATAATATTTTATTATACAAAAAAAATAAGACAAATTCCTTTTAATTATAAAAACTTAAAAATAATAAATATAAAAAGAAACAAACACACGAAAAATAACATATTTAATGAATGTTTAATAAATAAACTATTTAATCACAACGATAAAAATTGTAAATGTGATTCAATACCTGAAACAAAATGATTGCACTACGATAATTTACAAATAAAATACAACTGATTTCACTCCTAATTAAAAAAAAATGTCAGTCGTCGATTAACATCATATGAATATGAAAATAGCATTATAAGCGTAAGTGCTCACAGCGCATAAACGTTAATAAACGTCCAAAGCAAACGCAACTTAGATGTCACGACAAGAATGATACTCATAAATACAGGCGTCAGTATGTGTTTTGCACGCAATCTTCTAAGATATAACAAGCAAGAGAATTTCATAACATATGTATATAAGAATTTGTAGTATATTGTAGAAGTACTCTTTAATTAAAGATTTTTTAGTCTTTAGAATTGAAAACGCAAACTAAATATGTTTCTTTTATTGAAATTCACATTAATAATTTTAATAAATAAGACGTACGCGTATATCACACAAGATAGTGAAATAATATTGCTGCCGGCATGGAACCCGACAGGAGCAAAAGAGGTACGTGTGATTTACTGTAGTGATTTATTTATTGTTCGACGTCTAAAACATTATTCAAAAATTACAAGTCTTTTCTTAATTGTCATCATATTTATAGATACCATTAACATTAAAAGTTTTCGGGAAATTAATGCAGCTAAACCTGCGTAGGAACGATCAGATTATGTTGCCTGCGTTTGAAGCAAGGAAATATAACGCAAAAATTATCAGAGAAAAGCTATCGCAATTAAAAGCATCAGATCCTTGCTTCTTTCTTCACGAGAATCATGTCAGCTCTGCGGCCATCAACTTTTGCCAAGAACATGGATTGGTCAGTAGTATCATATGAAAAACAAACTATTTTCAATGTTGTTATGCTTTCACCTTATTATTCTTTTAATCTTTATTTCTTTTCGTTTGACACGTGAAAAACATATATATATTTTTTTAAAGTAGAAAGGACTCATTTTTGTGGAAAATGACATAATAGAGATTTGGTCTTTGCGGAACGTGTTAGCATCTCTGTCCTTCATCGACGACGTTTGCGTTAGAGAACAAATCAATCAATCATTCGGCAAACCTCACCTTATTAAAAGATTAGTCCAATATTATAGCCATTCAAATTTTTATCCTTTGGACAATCTTCAACGGAAGCCACGTTATGTAGAAAATAAAAAGATGAGTGATGAATATATCATAGAACTGGCTGTTTTCGTTGACACAGATGCATATCTCAAGTTCATGTATTATTTGGACAACGATATCAAAAAGATACGCAATATGATGTTAGAGTATGTGAAAAAGATTCAGTATTTTTATCACCATCCAAGTTTGGGTGTTCGTATCGGTATTTCTTTGGTAAATTTAACGATTTTGGAAACAGAACCGCCAAATTTTCCAGTTTTTAACGGCGAAGCTAAAGCACTGCTCCATTCGTTCTGCAAATACCAGAAAACTCTCAATCCTCCGAACGACGATGATCCACGTCATTGGGACATTGCCCTTTACGTAACTGGAATGGATCTTTTTCTAAAATCAAAAGAACAAATATATCGGAACTATTCAACTATGGGAAAAGCCACTGTCAGTGGCGGATGCGATGCAGATAAGTCATGCGCGCTAGTAGAATTTCCTGTAAAAGACTTTGATATTGCAATAAAAACATCATCTCTTGCTGCTGCTCATGAAATCGGTCATCTGTAAGTTCGTACATATCAGTTTTAGTAATATTAGTTTAGTATGAATTAAATACACTATTTTTTATTAGAATTTATTTAATTGTACAATTTAAAGTCAGAAAGTAAAGAGAATTTTTTAAAAGATTTAATTGTTTAATTGTTGAATATATTAACTACTTTATGTATGTTAACTAATTTAATAATAAATTATAAGATATATAAAAATTTTAATTAAACAATGCAAAGTAAAACACATTTTCAAGATTAATTATTTGTATGTTCAACAGTTTAGGATTTAAACACGATGAAAAGGGAAAGAATTCATACATAATGTCAAACTTAGTACGGGGTGTTACCGACTTACAATGGTCCAAGTATAGTCATGACCTAATAAAACCACTGTTGAAACAAATGTATCTCTCATGTCTTCGAGAATCTGATGATATCGATATCTATGACGATTGGTGGACATCTGACATATTTGATAATCCGCTATATTACGGTTTACCCGGAAGAAAATGGACCGCCAAAGCACAATGCGAACAATTTTTGCGCGACGAAAATGCGAACGTGGTCACGTTGCATGATATATGTCAAAATTTACAATGCGAGACGCCTAACAAAGCTGAGTCTTACTTCACTGCGCGCGCATTAAATGGTACGTCACTTCTTCTGATTACATACTTTAATTTTAATTTTATCAATTTTTTTTTTAGGAACTTATTGCGCACTCGGGAAAGAATGTCGTGGCGGAGAATGCCTGCCCATTATCGAACCCCCATTCAATTTTAAATTTTGTAATACAGATAAATGGAGTGAATGGAAGGAAGACGCCTGTCAAAGCGGTTGCTTGCAGAATTCTAAAGGCGTACTAGTCAAACGACGTATTTGCAAACATCGGAATAGCGAAACAACGAATTGCGTAGGACCATATTACGACGTGAATCTGTGCGATGATTCTTTACTCTGTTTCGGGAAACGCAAAACGATCGACTGGTTTACTACCTTGAAATGCATCAAATTCAAATTGGCGAACGCAAATTTATCGATAACAGAGCCAGGGAAACAGTATTCTTATGATGCCGAAAATCCGTGGATAGCATGTACCATATATTGTAAACAGAGAGCATCATCTGATTATTACACACCACGCCAAGAAATGCTCAACCTTCGTGTCGATCCATATTTTCCAGATGGAACGTGGTGTCACGAAGAAAATGGTCAAAATTATTACTGCCGCCAGCATCACTGTCTGCCGGAAAGCTACTCGCAAGAATAATTGTCGAAAGATTATCTACATGTGTGAATGAAAAGTAGGAGCTCCTCTTCCGCCGATGCGTGAAAGTTGTAAGCAAAACTCTTTTAATCAAATAATAGCAGATTATTTACGTCACTGTTCGTAATGTCAGTTTGTCATACCTAAAGAAGCATTAAAATTATGAAACTTTACTTTGTTGTATCTCCTAAACCAATGCCGTACCTCACTTAAATTTTTGCGATTAATTACAATGAATCTTTTCTATATCTTCAAGTATATACAGGGTGATTCACTAAAGGTTACAGGCTAATACTTCTGAAACTGAACAAAATATGAAATTTTCATTTTCCAGAGACGGTTTAGTATCGAAGCGGGCATTGTGTAATGAAATTAATTCTTTTTCAAGCAAAGTCGTTAAGATCATTTCGGAAAGAAAAGTATTTTTGCGAAAAGGAAATTAATGTTCACGTAGGAATATTAAAAGTAAACTAACACGATCTGTTACGAGACAAGTAGCTAGCACGTTGTTGTTAATTGATATGACTGATTTGTGGAAATAAAACTATAAAGCTATAAAACTAAAAAGCTACAAAGCCAGTGTACAGACGACGGCTTGAATCAGAGAAGCGTAAAAAAATCAGGTTTCTTTGAAATAACCTTAACAACCTTCGCTTTAAAAAGAATTAATTTCATTCAATATTAAACAATCGTTGGAAAATAAGAATTATGTCATTCAGTTTCGGAAATATGTACTAGCCTGTAACACCTTTAATGAACAACCCTGTATATTTAAAATTAAAACACGCAAACTAAACATGTTTCTTATATTGAAATTGGCATTAATAATTTTAATAAATAAAACAAATGCGTATATCACCCAAGATATCGAAATAATATTGCAGCCGGCATGGAACCCGACAGGAGCAAAAAAAAATACGTGTGATATACTGTAGTGTTTTATTTATCGTTCAACTTTTAAAACATTATTCAAAAATTACAAGTCTTCTTAATTGTCATCCAATTTACGGATACCATTAACTTTAAAAGTTTTCGAAAAATTAATGCAACTGAACCTGCAGAGAAACGACCAGATAGTATCGTATGCGTTTGAAGTAAGGAAATATCCAAAAAGTATCACAGAAAAACAAATATATTTCTTATTGTTTTTTTTAAACTCCCAAGTATTAGGAGTGCATATATCTTTGGGTAAAAAAAAAGAAATTTAAAATATTTGCAGATAATACATAATGAATAAAATAGTTGTTCAAACATGAAACATTGTTGTAAATTATTCATTGCATAATTTTTTAGACGTAGCAAAATTTAGATGTACCAAAATTTCAGTATCCTTCCAAAACAATTTTATAAATATACTTTGCGTAATCAAAATATTTTTACATATCGATATTTCTACACTATATGTAGTACAATAAGATTATAATACAAAATGCAGAACGTTTTGACTCTAATAAAGTGCATCACAAATAAAATAGCGTGCTTTTGTTGAAATAACAAAAACTTATCACTTTTTAAAACACGGATACAATCAAAATGATTTACTTAAAATAACGGGCGATATCTATATTGTCTTGATGTGCCAGAATCTCACCGATTACACAGGGAGCAAAAGAACGATTATCGTGTCTAAGAGAACTGCTAAGTGCATTGTTTGTCGCAATCACTATTATTAAAATTAAAACTTGGGCTCTAAGATTTCATATCGTATTTAATAGTACGCAGACAAACTCGTAGCGTATAAAACAATTTCCTGATTATCTTATCCTCGTTTGGAAGAATAGAGTGACTACCCGTCACTACTCGTCTGATTGCTTTGTACTGCTGTTAGTAAATATAACATTTGGACTTACAGTTTGTACCGAAAGTAATAGAAAAAAAAAAACTAAAATATTTTTAGAAGTACATCTACTATATTGCATTGTAACAAATAATAGTAATTGAAAAATGATTAGCATGTATAATAATTACAAATTATTTCTACATACATACAACATACAACGTAAAAACAAACATTTTATATAATATTTTATTATTCAAAAAAGATAAAACATTTCTTTCAATGAAAAAACTTTAAAAATAATAACTATAAAAAAAACAAATAAAAGAAAAATAACATATTTAATGAATGTTTAATAAATTATTTAATCGCAAAGTTAAGAAATGTAAATGTGATCCAATAACTGAAACAAAATGATTGCACTACAATAATCTACAAATAAAATACGAGTGATTTCACTTCTAATTTAAAGAAAAGTGTCAATCGTCAGTTAACATTGTATGAATTTGAAAATAGCGCTTATAAGCGCTGTTCACAGCGCGTAAGCGTTAATAAGTGTTTAAAACGAACGCAACTTAGATGTCACGACAAGAATGATATTCATAAATACAGACGTCAGTATGTGTTTTGCATGCGATCTTCTAAGATATAACAAGCAAGAGAATTTCGTAACATATGTATATAAGAATTTGTATATATATTGTAGAAGTACTTTTTAATTAAAGATTTTTTAGTCTTTAGAAAAGAAAACGCAAACTAAAAATATGTTTCTTTTATTGAAATTCACATTAATAATTTTAATAAATAAAACGTACGCGTATATCACACAAGATAGTGAAATAATATTGCTGCCGGCATGGAACCCGACAGGAGCAAAAGAGGTACGTATGATTTACTGCAGTAATTTATTAATTGTTCAACGTCTAAAACATTATTCAAAAATTACAAATTTTTTTTTAATTGTCATCATATTTATAGATACCATTGACATTAAAAGTTTTCGGGAAATTAATGCAACTAAACCTGCGTAGAAACGACCAGATTGTATCGCCTGCGTTTAAAGCAAGGAAATATAACGCAAAAATTATCACAGAAAAGCTATCGCAATTAAAAGCATCAGATCCTTGCTTCTTTCTTCACGAGAATCATGTCAGCTCTGTGGCCATCAACTTTTGCCAAGAACATGGATTGGTCAGTAGTATCATATGAAAAACAAACTATTTTCAATGTTGTTATGCTTTCACCTTATTATTCTTTTAATCTTTATTTCTTTTCGTTTGACACGTGAAAAACATACATATATTTTTTTAAGTAGAAAGGACTCATTTTTGTGGAAAATGACATAATAGAGATTTGGTCTTTGCGGAACGTGTTAGCATCTCTGTCCTTCATCGACGACGTTTGCGTTAGAGAACAAATCAATCAATCATTCGGCAAACCTCACCTTATTAAAAGAATAGTCCAATATTATAGCCATTCAAATTTTTATCCTTTGGACAATCTTCAACGAAAGCCACGTTATGTAGAAAATAAAAAGATGGGTGATGAATATATCATAGAACTGGCTGTTTTCGTTGACACAGATGCATATCTCAAGTTAATGTCTTATCTAGACAACGATATCGAAAAGATACGCAATATGATTGAATTAAAATATGTGAAAAAAATTCAGAATTTTTTTCACCATCAGAGTTTGGGTGTCCGTATCGGCATTTCTGTAGTAAATGTAACGATTTTCGAAACAAAATCGTCAAATTTTCCAGTTTTTGACGGCGAAGCTGAATCAATGCTCAAACTTTTCTGCAGTTACCAGAAAACTCTCAATCCTCCAGACGACGATGATCCGCGTCACTGGGACATTGCTCTTTACATAACCGGAATAAACATTTTTGTAACTAGAGCATTGGTTTCAACTTCATATAATGATTATTCAGCTACGGGAATATCCTTAATCGGTGGCGCATGCAAAGCGCATAAGTCATGCGCGATAGTAGAATTTTCTTCAGGTGACTTCGATTCTTCAATAAAAAAATCAACTGTTTACGCTGCTCATGAAATCGGTCATCTGTAAGTTTATACATATTAGTTTTAGTAGTATTAGTTTAATATGAATTAAATACAATATTTCAATTAGAAGTTATTTAATTGTTCAATTTAGTCTAAAGGTAAAGAGAATTTTTAAAAAGATTTGTTTGTTTAATTTTTAGTGTGTTAACTAATTGATTAATAAATTATAAGATATATAAAAATATTTTAATTAAACGATGCAAAGTAAAACAAATTTTTTAGATTAATAATTTGTATGTTCAACAGTTTAGGATTGCATCACGATTTGGACAAAACTGATACATATATAATGTCACCTGCGCCACAACGTTTTAGCGAGTTAAAATGGTTCGTGTATAGTCAGAACACAATAAAATCATCGTTGAAAAGAAAATCGTGTCTTCGAGAAATCGATGATAGTATCTATGTCGATGGCTATGATGATTGGTGGACATCTGACATTTTTGATAATCCGCTATATCACGGTTTACCCGGAAGAAAATGGACTGCCAAAGCACAATGCGAACAATTTTTGCGCGACGAAAATGCGAACGTGGTCACGTTGCATGATATATGTCAAAATTTACAATGCGAGACGCCTCACAAAAATGGATCTTATTTCACTGTTCCCGCGTTAAATGGTACGATTCTTCTTCTGATTGCCTATTTTAATTTTAATTTTATTGATTTTTTTTTTAGGAACTTATTGCGCACTCGGAAAAGAATGTCGTGGCGGAAAATGCGCGCCCATTTTAGAACCGCCATACAATTTTAAGATTTGTAATAAGGATAATTGGAGTGAGTGGGTGGAAGACTCCTGTAAAAGCAGTTGCTTGCAGAAATCAAAAGGCGTACTAGCCAAACGACGTTTTTGCAAACATCGGTTGCACAAAACACCGAATTGCATGGGATCATATTACGACGTGGTTCTGTGTGATGATTCTTTACTTTGTACTAGGAAACACAAAACGGTCGTCTATTTTGCTTTTAAGAAATGCTTAAAATACATCAAGTTGGCCAACGACACTAATTTATCGATAACAAAACCAGGGAAACAATATTCTCATAATGCCGAGAAATCGTGGATAGCATGTACTGTATACTGTGCACACAAAGAATCATCTGATTATTACACACCACGCCAAGAAATGCTCAACCTTCGTGTCGATCCATATTTTCCAGATGGAACGTGGTGTCACGAAGAAAATGGTCAAAATTATTACTGCCGCCAGCATCACTGTCTGCCGGAAAGCTACTCGCAAGAATAGTTGTCGAAAGATTATCTACATGTGTGAATGAAAAGTAGGAGTCCTTCTTTTGTTGATGCGTGAAAGTTGTAAGCAGACTCTTTTAATCAAATAATAGCAGATTATTCACTGTTCGTAATGTCAGTTTGTAATACAAAAAAAAGCATTGAAATTGTGAAACTTTAATTTGTTGTATCTCTTAAACCAATGCCGTCCCTCACGTAATTTTTGCGATTAACTACAATAAATATTCACCACACACACACACACATATCTTCAAATATATACAGGGTGATTCATTAAAGATAACAAACTAATATTTGTGAAACTGAACGAGATATAAAGTTCTCATTTTCGCGCGACAATTTAGTATCGAAGCGAGCATTGTGTGATGAAATTAATTCTTTTTCAAGCAAAGTCGTTAAGGTCATTTCGGAAAAGAAAGTATCTTTGCGGAAAGGAAGTTAATATTTACGTAGAAAATTTAAAAGCAAACTAATACGTTCTGTTACGAGACAAGTAGTTAGCACGTTGTTAGTTAGTTGACATGACTGATTTGTTGAGATAAAGCTATAAAGCTATAAAGCTAAAAAGCTATAAAGCCAGTGGAAACGCGACGCCTGAATCAGAGAAGCGTAAAAAAATCAGGTTTCTTTGAAATAACCTTAACAACCTTCGCTTTAAAACGAATTAATTTCATACAATATTAAACAATCGCTGGAAAATAAGAATTATGTCATTCAGTTTCGGAAATATGTACTAGCCTGTAACACTTTTAATGAACCATCCCGTATATTTAAAATTAAAACACGCAAACTAAACATGTTTCTTATACTGAAATTGGCATTAATAATTTTAATAAATAAAACAAATGCGTATATTACGCAAGATATCGAAATAATATTGCTGCCGGCTTGGAACCCGACAGGAGCAAAAGAGGTACGTATGATTTACTGTAGTGATTTATTTATTGTTCAACGTCTAAAATATTATTTAAAAATTACAAGTCTTTTCTTAATTGTCATTATATTTATAGATACTATTAACATTAAAAATTTTCGGGAAATTAATGCAGCTGAACCTGTGTAAAAACGACCAGATTGTATCGACTCCATTTAAAGCAAGGAAATATAACGCAAAAATTATCACAGAAAAGTTATCGCAATTAAAAGCATCAGATCCTTGCTTCTTTCTTCACGAGGATCATGTCAGCTCTGCGGCCATCAACTTGTGCCAAGAACATGGATTGGTCAGTAGTATCATATGAAAAACAAACTATTTTCAATGTTGTTATGCTTTTATTTTATTATTCTTTTAACTTTTATTTCTTTTTGTTTGACACGTGTAAAACATATATATATTTTTTTAAAGTAGAAAGGACTAATTTTTGTGGAAAATGACATAATAGAGATTTGGTCTTTGCGGAACATGTTTGCATCTTTGTCCTTCATCGACGATGTTTGCGTTAGAGAACAAATCAATCAATCATTCGGCAAACCTCACCTTATTAAAAGATTAGTCCAATATTATAGCCATTCAATTTTTTATCCTTTGGACAATCTTCAACGGAAGCCACGTTATGTAGAAAATAAAAGGATGGATGAAGAATTTATCGTAGAACTGGCTGTTTTTGTTGACACATATGCATATCTTCTGTTAATGTTTTATCTGGACAACAATATCGATAAAATACGCAATATGATTAAGTTAGAGTATTTGAAAAAAGTTCAGGATTTTTTTCACCATCGGAGTTTGGGTGTCCGTATCGGTATTTCTTTGGTAAATTTAACGATTTTGGAAACAGGATCGTCAAATTTTCCAGTTTTTAAGGGCGAAGGCAAAACACTGCTCAAACTTTTCTGCAGTTACCAGAAAACTCTCAATCCTCCAGACGACGATGATCCACGTCACTGGGACATTGCTCTTTACATAACCGGAATGGACATTTTTACAACTAAAGGTACATCGTTTTTAATTTCATATGATGATTATTCAGTTGCGGGATTAGCCTTTACCGGTGGCGCATGCAAAGCGCATAAGTCATGCGCGATAGCAGAATTTTCTTCAGGTGATTTCGATTCTTCAATAAAAAAATCATCTCTTCACGCTGCTCATGAAATCGGTCATCTGTAAGTTTATACATTAGTCTTAGTAGTATTAGTTTAGTATAAATTAAATACAATATTTTTATTAGAATTTATTTAATTGTACAATTTAAAGTTTGAAAGTAAAGAGAATTTTTTAAAAGATTTGTTTGTTTAATTTTTTATGTGTTAATTGATTGATTAATAAATTATGAGATATATAAAAATATTTTAAATAAACGATGCAAAGTAAAACACATTTTCAAGATTAATAATTTGTATGTTCAACAGCTTAGGATTGCGTCACGATTTCGACGAAACGGATACATATATAATGTCACCTGCGCCACAACGTTTTAGCGAGATAAAATGGTCCATGTATAGTCATAACACAATAAAATCATCGTTGAAAAGAAAATCGTGTCTTCGAGAAACCGATGATAGTATCTATGTCGATGACTATGACGATGATTGGTGGACATCTGACATATTTGATAATCCGCTATATTACGGTTTACCCGGAAGAAAATGGACCGCCAAAGCACAATGCCAACTATTTCTGGACGACGAAAATGCGAACGTGGTCACGTTGCATGATATATGTCAAAATTTACAATGCGAGACGCCTCACAAAAATGAATCTTATTTCACTGCGGGCGCATTGAGTGGTACGTCTCCTTTTTTGATTACATACGTTAATTTTAATTTTATTGATATTTTTTAGGTACTTATTGCGCACTCGGGAAAGAATGTCGTGGCGAAAAATGCCTGCCTATTATCGAGCCGCCATACAATTTTAACTCTTGTGATGAGGATAATTGGAGTGAATGGAAGAAAGACATCTGTCAAAGTGGTTGCTTGCAGAAATCGAAAGGCGTACTAGCCAAACGACGTATTTGCAAACATCGGAATAGAGAAACACCGAATTGTGTAGGACCATATTACGACGTAGTTCTGTGCGATGATTCGTTACTCTGTTTCGGGAAACGCAAAACGATCGACTTGTTTACTACCATAAAATGCACCAAATTCAAATTGGCAAACTTAGCGATAACAGAGTCGGGGAAACAGTATTCTTATGATGCCGAGAAACCGTGGATAGCATGTACTGTATACTGTACACACAAAGAATCATCTGATTATTACACACCACGCCAAGAAATGCTCAACTTTCGTGTCGATCCATATTTTCCTGATGGAACGTGGTGTCACGAAGAAAATGGTCAAAATTATTATTGCCGCCAGCATTACTGTCTGCCGGAAAGCTACTCGTAAAAATAGTTGTCGAAAGATGATCTACGTATGTTTTAAAATTATTATGCTTTTACTTTTAGTCTTTATTTCTCTTCGTTGTACATTTACAAGTATGACACGTGAAGATATATATATTTTTTCGTAAAGTAGGAAGGACTCGTTTTTGTGAAAAACGATGTATTAGAGATTCGGCCTTTGCGCAACGTATTTGCACCTTCATCGACGATTTTTGTGTTAAGGAACAAATTAATCAGTTATTCGGCAAACCTTATCTTATTAAAATATTACTCCAATATTATGATGATTCAAATTTTTATTTTTTGGACAATTTTAAACGGAAGCCACGTCATGTACAAAATACGCAAAAAAAATTTACTATAGGACTGGCTGTTTTCGTTGACGTAGAAGCATATCGCAAGTTGATGCGATTATACCCGATGATATCAAAGATGATATACGTGATATAATGTTAGTGTATGTGAATTTTATGCAGGCTTTATATTTTGGCACGTTATTTATTGTTATATATATATATATTTTTTAATTTTTTGATATATAAGCATAAAAAGGTTCGTCATCTCTGCTTTAGAATGTTTGAAACATATCACGATACAAACATGGATCGTCATGGATTTGCGTAAATAGATTTCAAAACACACCGATTGATGCATATTTGTGTCTTATAATATTCATAAAAATTCGCGCGCTGCAAATGCAGCGAACTCTATCGAAAACCGCATGAACTTTTTTGCTTAGATTCCTTTTCCTTTTCCCTTTTTTTAAAGTATAAGTACTTTCTTTCTTCTTTCAGACTGCAGATAATTTATTTTTATTCCATTGTAAATATTTTGTAAAATCCAATCAATCAAATAGAAAATAAAAAAACATAAGGCAATAATGATATGATTCATTCATTCGTATATGACTATAAATTTGCCTTTTGCACTATTTCTAAATAAATAGTAGTATATAGAACATTTTTCTTTCATTTTAGATGGTCTCATGTTTATATGGTCAACATTCCATACTGATGTTTAACGTAATTTTGATTTTCTGTTTCACATATAAAGTCTTTTTTTTTAAGTAAATTGATCACAAAATATATAATAACAATTAAATTGCGCAAACACAATAAGCAAGTAAATATAAATACTTGAAAATTTAATGTAAAACTGCATTGAATTAAGACATTTTCTGTATTTTATATCAAGTATTATCGACGTCTTGTTGGCGTTTTAAGATTAAATGTTAGATCAATCAACGGTGCTTAGCTCCGTCCGTCACCGCAAATCGCTGTTAAAGCACGCAACGGGTGAATACGACGCCGCGTTGCGTGCGCCCGTTTCACGAAGAAATCATTTCACTAACGACGTAGATTGAGCAAACAACCTTTTGATCCCCGTTCTGGCAGGACGTCGAGGATGGCCGATATCAAGCAGGATCACAAGGGCGAGGATGTCGACACTTACGGGATGGGTAACAACGCCGACCCGAAGAACATGCAGGAGTTGACGCAATACGTGAGTCCACGTACTTACGCACAGGATGATGATGCATCCGAAGACGCATCGCAACGCAACGATGACGCTACGTTGACTCCTTTGCAGGTGCAAACGCTGCTGCAGAACATGCAAGACAAGTTTCAAACGATGTCCGACCAGATCATAGGAAGAAATATCCTTTTCCTGTGCTTAACCTAAAAGAATACGCATGAAAAATGTCATATTCACGCTGAATCAACAATTGGCAAAAACGGTATTAATAGCTTATTCTGTAGAGTATTTTGTGTTGCTGTGGTTGATGTTTCAGCTTTTTGGATATCCTCTACATTGCAGAATATTCAAGTGTAAGTATGCAGCAAATAATCAAAGACAGTGGTTGCTTATTATTGTTTACTTAGCTTGCATGTAAAGTGCTAGTTGAAATGTGTTCATTCTGATTTGATTTTAGTAAGCAAGAAATAAATTCTAAAGTGTCTGTGCACTGAGATAGATTTTACATATACTTTTATATTAAAATCAGATTATAGTATTATAAGTTTAAATGCAATCATTGTTTATGATCCAATATTAGATACTAATATTGGATTACATGTATGTTTTGTTTTCGAATCATATAGTGTATGTATAGTGTATTTTACTAAGTTAATCTAGTTTGATTAATCTATAGTAGATAAATTAACTTACTGATATTGTCGCTATAAAAAGATCCTTAATAAGAAATACTAGATGAAATGGGCAACAGAATAGATGATCTGGAAAAGAATATCGCAGATCTAATGACGCAAGCAGGAGTCGAAGGTGGCGAAAAATAAGTTAATTCTCTTACCAATGCACTGATCCATAAGTGAGGAGTCATCCAAAGTATTTGAGATAGACGTATGTGGAAGAAAAATATAGAGGCAGTGAGATACACATCCTTTTGTTACAATGCAAAAAAATAAACTTACACTTTTTTATAAATGTATTTTGATATTATTTCGAACACAATCTTCATCAGCTAATTAAAGTATAAAGTTAACAAAATATAGTGACAGCATTAGAGTACATAATTTTAGAATTGATTACATTGATCTTTGATGCTATCCTTATTATAAAAAGCTATTATAACATTTTTTTTAAACTACTATTTAATCATATTCAAAACAATTTTGTGTATCAATGGATACTTAAACTGATATCAAGTACAAAATAATTAAATATTTTTAAAGAATAAATATATGATAAAATTTACTTTGTCTGATTCATTTTAGAAGGTATGCGATATATTATAGACGACATTAACGACTTCTGACACCTAGGAATTGCCGGGAAAGGCCTGAGAATGAAGCGTTTCTTTACTTTATATCCAGAATGTCTTGATATTTTTTTCTAAAAAGGTAGGAGGGCAAAGTTAAAACGGTAATTGAGATTACATAGATTTATGCCTAGTTCTCACAGGCTTCTCTCGAATTGACTCTGATTCTGTTTCCTCTGTGCTGTCTGCATCTTCTTCAACTTGAACCGATTCGGATGAGTTTGTGAGGCCAGTTCGTACAGAATCCTAAAAGAATTTGGCGTATTAAGATTCAAGGATAAAATAGTGGAGCGACGTATTTCGGACTCAATATTTACAGCAGATTCGGTTTCTCGATTAGCTAGTCTTTGCGATGTCATGGGAGAGGATGCAAATCGACTGGCCAAGTTTGTCAGTGAATAGGCTTGTCGAAATGAAGTTCTTCTCACCGTACTTAATCTTGCGCCAGAGTCAGAAACGCGCATCGTTTCTCTAAATTCCTAGATAACAATAAAATTGTACACTTAAAAAAAGATCGGCATAAAATTGTATCGGCGTTTGATACGAGTAACATTATCGAAAGGTAAATTAATAATGCGGGTATCAGTTTGAAGCAAATTTACCCCGTTCATTTCTCCTCTCGTAGTTTGAAAGTCCTGCACGTTTAAGGATAAATTGATTATGTTTATATGAATATCGTTATAATACAGTTATAAATTTTTATATTTCACAATTTCACCATTTTTTTACATAATACACAATTTGAAAAAAAATTTATATCTTTTATCTTACCTCAAGATCTTTTATCTCGTCGATAGCCGCAACGTCTTGGTACGCTTTTGTCAAAAGCTCGAGAGCTTTAGTGTGAAAGCTCAACTCGATGGTGACAAAGTCCAAAAGCACGGACTTCAAGTCGTGCAATTTTCGTCGCTCGAATGAGTCGATCTGCTCCTCCAATCCTTTTACTACTCGGGACACTTCAACGGATGCTTTCATCAGTTCTGATTCGGCTTGCGACTAGTATCCTTTTTTAGTTAAAGATTCGTAAGAGACACTTGTACTTAAACAAGATTAGATCTTTTGAACAATTTTGTACTTAAAAACAAGATTAGATCTTTTGAACAGTTTTACCAATGGCTATTGATTTTTATTATAATTTAACTGATTCTTATTTTGTCATAAAAGACTTTAGTTAAATTGGAGCTAAAGTTTTAATTGATTTTGGTGAAATAAATCTTCAATTGTCTGGATTTGTATTATCATATTTTTAAGGATACTATCATTTGGCGATTCCTGGGATTTCTTTCCCGAACTTTGTCCAAGTGCCTTCGTCTCGTGAGTTCTCTGTCGCGCGCTGCAAAAGTGTTTCTTACGTCATCGCGGGCATGCTTGCAGATCGTCGCATATTGCGAAAGAGGTGCAATCACCTTGGAGTCCAATCTCTGTACTCCCGCATCTCTAAAATAAATCGATAATTTTATATAAATAAAATTTTAAATAAAATAGGTTTTTAAAATCAGCCGCAAGATTTTCACGACTTCTCCATACGTTAAGAAATAAAAATCATGATTAATATAAAAAAGCAAACATTTTATGCAAATAGATTAGATTTTTTTCCATTTTCTTTTTTTTAGCAATATTGGATATATTAATTATTTGCTACTAGAAAGAAATTAGTGTTATTACAATCTTTTTCTTTTTTATACTTTAGAATGGAAACACAATGATTTGAAATAGTTTTACCTATAATCACCGATAACTGATAATGTTACAGAAAAGTTCGCGAGTCCGGTGCTCAGGGATCGATTTATAATTTCCGAGTCGGCATAGATTTGTATTATTTTAGCCAATTCGTCGCCTTTGTCGCGTAATCTGAAAAAAAGTAAGCCAGTGAACAAAAGGTGCGTTGCTATCGGTGTGGTAGTTTCACATGTGTCGCTAAGGAAAAATAATCGATATAGTTTGTCGGTCAATTACAGCACCTGGCCGCTTTCCTGGTGAACGCCGCGAATACCGTGCACAGCTCAGCGAAGTGTTTTTCTACGCCTGTTATGCGATCCTGCACAAATTTCGCCTCCTGCTCACTAAACAAACAAAAGAAAATCATTTACAATTTGCATCTATGATTTGTAAGAAAACGTCATAAAATACTATCCAAATATTTGCATTTTTCGCTTAACTTACTACACGCTACTTTGGGAGCGCACTCGAAGCATTTTCTATTTTTCCGTGACGTACTCCGTAAAATATTCGATGAACTTTTCTGCGTGACAGAAAAATCACGCAGAAATGTAGTAGAAATGTAGTATCGACCGTTTCCTTTTCCGCACGCAACCGATGACAGTTGCCTACTGGCAGGTGGTGAATTGCCGCAGGTGAAGTTGCGCCGCGTTTCCTATACTCCCTTCAGACTAACTACATATATTGGGGGTTGACTATCAACTTCCTGTATTGTGTTTGTCTTTAGAGTTTGAAAGGCTTATCTACATATGGTCTTTATATTAAAAGAAAATAAATTTTATAGTAAAATATAATCACATTTATTTAATGTAAAATTTTGCTAAAAATTATAATATTATATACATATCTTATAATATATATATTTAATAAATTAGCAATATATTAATATTGCGATCAACTATCTTTTATCACAGCGAATGAGTAACCTGCGCCAGCACCGACGAGGACGCCAATAGATTTATTTGAAAGCAGCACAAATTCTGGCTTCAAAACGTTCTTCACGTTTCCGTTACCACAGTTTCCATGCTCATTCCAGCCCCAGCATAATATCGTCCCATTATCTAATATTAAATTATTATACATTATAAATGCACACCAAAAAATATTTCTTTTAATATTTAACCACATTACATTCTTTAAAATATATATTTCTAAAGCTTCAAAAAACTCATCTATTTTTTTTTTTTGTTTAATAAGAGGAAAAACAAGAGTGTGTGTCTTAATTGTAAAACCAATTATTCGACATGTATTATCTTCTATTTTTAGTATACGCAATTGAAAAAGTATTTGCGTTTATATTTATTGTATCTACTAATTTACCCGCTAAGGCAACGTTGTGTTCTGATCCAACCGAAAGTTGAGTGATTTTTGGGATTCCTTCAATACACTGAAGTCTTTCTTCTATGGATATTTCATTTTGTGAATTCGATAAAGGGCGGCCCAACTGACCATAATCATTTCTCCCCCATGAAAAAACAGTACCATCTAAAATCATACAGTACGTTTAACATATTGTGTGTGTGTGTGTGTGTATATATTTTATATTAATTATAAAGCAAATTCAGTTCAATTACTGCTCAAGATATTGATGTGACTCCATCCTGTGTGGATTTGTATTGGCGCTTTAAGTCGCGCATCGGAAAACGGAATACACTTAGGTTGCGATAATCGCATTTTAGAAGATGTTTTGGGAAAGAAACCCAATTGCCCATGCTTGTTATCACCAAAAACATATGTATTGTAAGTATTCTTTTGATTTTTTGTTACGACGATAGTATAATATGGACCGCATGCCATGTTTTCTATGTTTCCCTGAATTGACAATTCTGGAACTGTTAATACTCTCCATTGATTCTTTCAATTAAATGGAAATATTTTTATTTCCTTATTGTATAATGCTATTCAATAAGCTAGCTACCAACAATATAAATTGCGAAGAATGCAATATATAATAGACAATAAAACCGAGAAATAAATATATAATAAAAATAAATAAAAAAATATGTTAAAAAATTGTTTAAAAAAACATTTGCGTAGTTTTTTAACGCTTTGTCCTTATTAAATTTTTAGAATTCCTTAATTTGCATATTTTTTATAGAATAAAAATGTCATACCTTTGGTAAATGTACTTAGAAGAGTATAAGGCTCCATAGTTTCTGAATTAATTAAACCCAATTGTCCTCTGTTATTTGCTCCGCAGATATAAAGCTCATGATTTTCCGTCACTACGGCGGTATGTCGCAACCCCATCGAAACATGTTTGATCTTTTCATTGATCAAGATTCTGCGGGGATACGATATAGAAGAAAAAACTGCAGGATCTAAACCCAATTGTCCATAACGATTAGAGCCCCATACATATAACTCGCCGTCCTTCGTTAACGCTGCAGAACTATCCCATCCACAGCATACATCAGTCACTACTTGATGCTCAAGAGCGCATATTCTTTGAAATGTTAAAATGTTTCTCTGCTTAATGTTATTGTGTCCAGTTTGTCCCTTGTCGTTCAATCCACAAGAATAAACGTGTCCGTCAGAATCCAAAATCAGTGTGTGTCCAGCACCACCAACAATTTTTTTTATAGCTTCAGGTCTTAAGGAACATTTTGATAAATCGACTTTGTTGCCTAAGATGCTTTGCTCCGATAATACACCTTGCCCTAATTGGCCATGGGAATTTGCACCCTGCAAAAGAAGTTCGTAAGATTAGTTTGGGATTTTGAAAGGCGCTAAAGACTTATACAATTTTATAAGTTTGTTCTAAATTTTTTACAAATTTATTGTCTTAATTTATTTAATCATAAAATGTTGAAAATTGACTGTACAGTTTATTTTTTATATTTCAATTCTATATCAAAGAAGCATTTATTTTGGATATGTTTCATACATATCGTTTTTTTTTTATTTTAAGATTATAAAATTTCAAATCAAACTTTCAAACTTCAAAATATCATCCATATATTGACCAAAAATAAAAATATATAACATTCAAAATAATCAATTTTAAATCAAAGGTGGATTTACAGTTTAGAATTGCACATATATTGGTAGCTAGAGTAAAAAATCTATACTTTATTTTTAAAAATACAAGTAAATAACGATATTCGTTTATATGAAGAGTTTGAAGGAACATACATAAAAACTAAGAATTTTAGATATATTTGAATTTTATGAGGTTAACAAGCCCAAATATACCTCTAGTAATGTCCAGGGAATCGCTCCTCTATTTGTCTTATATATGTATAAAGTATTATAATTATCAACTTCTGATTTGAACTTTAACAACAAAAATTGGTAATGCATATCTACTTGTATATATTAGATTCGATTTGATCATTGCATGCAATATATAAACATACTTTGAAAACAATCAGTTTTTTTATAAATAAAAAATTTGAACATGTACACAGTTGTCTTACCCATGAAATCAAATAATATGTAGACATAACCAGATAATGTTCTCTATTGTGTTTTTTTTTTTAGGATTCAGAATAAACGTTTTATTTCTTTTTCTTGTTGTACTAATTTTTGGATTTCTACGTTTCACGTTAAAACACACAGTACTGTATATTTTTAGATTTCTCTATTTACACAATCATTATCATGGACAAAATATTGCAATACTGACAACCTTACGCAAATTACATGGATGCAATAAGGCTGCTATACATGAATTAATTTAAGTGCAAAAGCATAACATCAGCATTATAATTGACAAATTTTCTATTAAATAATGCTATCACGTTATTTAGTAATCTTTATATTGAAAATTTTCCAGTTCTATGTTTATATTATGTTAATGTGTGTAAATAATTTCATGTATGGCAGCCTTAATATGCATCAAATTTTTTGTTGGCAACGCTCATATATATATAACGTGAATGTGATGTGATGATGATATTGTAAACAAAACGTGTAGCGGCACATTAATTAAACAAAACTTTATTCCTAGAAATTTGTAATATTATGTGAAATACAATTGTTCTAAGAAATAACGTGACATAGAAATATTGAGAGGAGCAAAATGCAAGAATCTGTAAAGTTTAATTTGAAAGAGGCTAAATCGGATCTTCTACATGCAATAAATGAATGTTCTCAGCGCGGTTTATTGAATACTACTAAGTGGTATGCATATTTTTGCCCAAATAAACGTATTACTCATCTCTTACACGTTTTCGGATAATTTTGGGATTTAATGTACATATGTTCTAGGTTAGCAGAATTAAACTACTCCTTAAAAAATATAAAACTGGATGTACATGATTTAACTGCAGATATCAAGTCAGAGATATGCGAGGAAGAGGATATTTATGTTTTATCTAAAACTTACTTTGACTTGAAGGAGTATGACAGAGCAGCTTATTTCACAAAGGATTGTGCAACTCCAAAAGTTAGATTTTTACATTTGTATTCGCGTTACTTATCAGGGGAGAAGAAAAAAATAGATGATATGACAGATGTGCCACCAGATCCTTTGAAGAATGATAATTTAAACTGCTTTGTGCTGATCTAAGAAAGACCATTTGGCATCAAAGTTAGATGGCTTCGGGTTATATCTTTTTGGTGTGACTTTAAAGAAATTGCAACTTATGAGAGAGGCGATAGATGTTTTAGTAGAATCTATACATAAGGAACCCATGCATTGGGGCGCATGGTTAGAATTGGCTGCATTAATCACAGATAGGGAAAAACTAGAGAGTCTATGTTTGCCGAATCATTGGATGAAATATTTCTTTATGGCACATATGTATTTAGAACTACAGCTTATAGATGAAGGTTTAGCATTATACTGTCAATTGCAGTCAATGGGTTTTCAGAAAAATTGTTATGTACTAGCGCAAACTGCAATTGCAACACATTATAGAAGAGGTAAGTTAAAAAATCTAATGTAGTTTTACAAAAATTAATTTTCTATCTATTTCAGATGTTGATAATGCAATAGAAACCTTTAAAAAAATAATAGAAGAAGATCCTTATTGCCTTGATAATATGGATACATATTCAAATCTCCTTTATGTAAAAGAGATGAAAGTTGAATTGGCATATTTGGCACATAGAGCTACTGATATAGATAAATATAGATTAGAAACTTGTTGTATAGTAGGTGAGTATTAATTACATCTTTGTAAGAAGATATAAATGTATCAATATTGTAGTTAAAAAAATATATATATGATAAAAATCAATATCTTTTTTAGGAAATTATTACAGTTTAAGAGCCGATCATCCAAAAGCAGTGATGTATTTCCATAGAGCATTAAAAATAAATCCGCAGTATTTGTCGGGTTGGACGTTACTAGGTCATGAATTTATGGAAATGAAGAATACCAATGGTGCCATCCATAGCTATAGACAGGCAATTGGTAAAATTTTTAAATGTTTTCTCTTCGCATCAGTAATATATGTATACTTTTTCTATATTAATTTCCACGTTAATTTCTCAGAGGTAAATAGACGGGATTATAGAGCATGGTATGGTTTGGGTCAGACATACGAGATCTTGAAAATGCCGTTTTACGGACTTTATTATTACAAACAAGCTCAGGTTTTAAGACCTCATGATAGCAGAATGATTCTAGCTTTGGGTGAAGCATATGAGAAGCAGGATAAAATTCAAGATGCACTCAAATGTTATTACAAGGCATGCAACGTGGGTGATATAGAAGGAATGGCGCTCTTCAAGTTAGCAACGTACGTATCAAACATGTGGTACTAAAAATCACATATATTGTCTACTAAAATTCTACTTTTATATAGATTATATGAAAAATTAGGAGAAGACGAACAAGCAGTGGGAGCTTACACAGATTTTGTAGCAGATGAATTTCGAAATATTGATAAATCGGACTTGATTCACGCGTACAAATATCTCATACACTATCATATAAAGAGGGAACACTTGGATCAAGCTAATCACTTTGCACAAAAATGCCTTCAATTTGACGAAACCAAAGAGGAAGCTTGGGGATTATTAAGAACAATTACAGAGAAAAGAACCATCAGATTAGGAGAAACTTTCATGATGGTAAATAAAAATTTTTTTTGCACAGTAGTCGGCAAACTGATGCAAATTTTATTAATTATTTTAGGTGGATGATATGAATGAAACAGATCCTGTAATGGAGCAAAGAGCGCAAGCGGATGCAACACCTGGAAGTCAACTATCACCAATGAATCTTTCATCTACACCTACGCCGTAAAAAAAAATATTCATACACTGTCTCGCAATTTTAACACTTGTAATTTGTATATAAAAATCAAGTATTCAATATTGTATTATATATTTTTGTAATATTAATGTATTTTTTCCTAAGACATAATGTAAGAAAAATATAATGCTTGCTTTTCCAGAATTTTGAGCACAAATGTATATAAAATTATCATCAGTTATACGCATAGTCAAATACAAATTGGGATAATTATATAAAATTAATATTAAATTAATATATGTCGATATATTGACGCTTTATTTTATGTTTATAGCGTAATGGAACAGATTTTTAATAAACGTTTCTTATCAATTTATTTTTATTGATTATATTTTGTCATTGTATTAAAAATATGTTTTTGCTATTTCGTAGTATGTATAAACTTAAATTAATTTCTATCGTTATAAAATGCAATCGATTACCACATGAAACATTTAATTCGCATTCGGATATTGTTTCTTGGGCGTGTTGTTATTTATCAATGTTCCCTGTAAAAGCATAATACGTATTTAATTAAATATCTGCATATCATTGCTTTTACATATTTCTAATTATTGTTATAATTTATTTTTTGAAAATTATTCAATAAATCGATATTTATATTTACTTCGTCATCAGATTTATCAAGATGATTTCTTGTTTCTCTGAATCTCTGAATGATTCGTTCGTGTGGGGATGTTGCGACAAGTTGTCGTGGATAATGATAGTCTTTTCTTGCAGGTGTTAAGCCTAGAAAAAAACAATAAGTTAATTTAGCTCTATGAAACATTTACAGTACTACTTATATATATTCTATTCTCAGCTATATTTATGTATGTTATATTTTTTCTATTATCTACTCTTATGTATATTTTATTTTATATATTAACCATTTTTAGCTATATTAAACATTTTCAGAAATAAAAATCGAAGATTTACCTGTTGGTGTGTCACGCCGTAGGTCCTCGAGAAGGAATTTTCCAATTCTTTCTTGCATCGAATGCAATTGCGTAGTTGTTTTTCCATTCCAATCAGATAAATTTTCCTCCTGATTTCTGATTTTGTCACTTTGTTCTGTGGATAGTTGTAGATTTTTCTTTTTAAATTCTTCCACAAGTTTTTTATGATCTTCACTTCCTTGTATCATTATGTCATAGATATTCTATAAAATAAATTATTAAGTATACTATACATATATATCTATATATCTATACATATATGTATTTCAAAACAGTAATTTTAATAATATATAACAGAAATTTACTTTGACTGATTCAACAGCAAAAGAATTATTTTCTTTGAACTTTTGCTGCATTTGCTTTGTATTATCTTCGATGTATTGTATGTTTAGCTCTAATACGTCGCAATGAGATTTTAAGTCAGTTTCAAGTTCATCGATCAAATTATGGCTTTGTGTTCCAATCTGTTCAGCTATCGTCCAATTCTATTAAAACAGAAAAATTAACATATATTATTCTTTGTATTTTTCACGGTATTTAATCATTTGACAATTAATAGAAAGTTAATATTACCTTTTCCATGCCAGATCCAACATCATTTTTCAATATATCTATATCACTCTGAATTTTCTGTCGCAGTTCCTCATTTCTTGCAACATTTTGGTTGCAATTCTCGAGAACATTGTTACTTGTACTGTCACAAACTTCACTAACGTGATTTAAAGTAGTGTATGCGGTAGAATAATTCTCAGTTACGTTTTCATTCAACTTTTTATATTGTAACCATAGATCTTCGAATGACTATTCAAAATAAATACAATATTATATAATATAAATACAAATATTAAATAAAAATAAGGAAGGCATATAATTTGTAAGTAATATTAAAATTAAAAAAATTTTTTAATACTAATTTAATAAAATAAAAAAAATAGCATTAGAATTAATATTGAATCATGACTATACCTTCTTGAATTGTTCTTGTTCCTTCATTACTTTACTATCACCTTCACAAACAGCTTGCACATTCTGTTTTATTTCAGTTATAGTTTTATACAAATTATCACGTTCTTGTATTCTATGGTCACGAAGTTGTCTTATTGATTGATTTGTGTATGTTGATATCTTATCAAACTTCTGAGATACATCTTCATTTAAGCAACGTAAATTCTTTACAATTTCCGAAATATTAACGTGTACTAAATCATGTATTTTTGATGTTATTTGTACGGACATGTCATTCAAAAATTTACATTCACGTTTAGTCAAGTCAGTTGAATGCTCCATTTCTGTATACAACCATTGTTGATATTCTTTGTGCTAAAAAATAAAGAAATTTGTTATTTGTTTCATTATTGATTTTTTTCATATATATGCGAAAAACTCACCCAGTCATTTATATTCTTTGTAAATTCATCTATTACTAACTTTTCTTTATTAACAATATTATTTGACATATAATCGATCATTGAACATGTATCCTTTTTAAATAATTCCATTCGTGTATCTATAATAAAAATAAAATATATATTTCACGATCTATCCAAGTGTATACTACATAATTTTTACTTACCATTGTCATTTTTAAGAGAAGTATAAAATTTGCAAACATTCCTGTGTGCGAGTTGCAACATTATTTTCCACATCTTGAAACTGTTTTGCAATGTTACTTCGGAATTGATGACTAAGATGTTCATTTTCCTGTTCTAGTTGTCTATAGAGATATATTTTAAATGCATTTTAAAATGGTTGTAATTATAAAATAATATAGTAACGTCTTTATTATAAATTATAAAATATAAAATGATATAAAATGAAATGCAATCTACCTCTTATGAGAAATTTTATCGTGAAGCTTATTTACATCAGTTGTTGCTGTATCAGCAATATTCAACAGCGTTTGCGCTTGTGACAAAAGTTGCTTCTCTGTAGATGCGTGTTTTTCCACTAAATGACATTGTTCTTCTTTTTCACGTTCTGTCATTTGTAAAAGTACAGTAGTTGATTGTAAAGCATGAACAGTAGTTTCTAATTCTTCCTTGGTTTCATGTAAGTGAGTAGTCTGCTCTATATGCTTTGCTTGTAATTCATTGAATATTTGCTAATTGAAAATAAAAGGTTTAGAATAGTATAAATTATTACAATTACATTATATTATAAATGTATGTAAATTAATGACAGTATATGTACCTCCTTGGACTCCATAGTTTCTTTAAGTACTCTAATAAAATTGATTTTTTCTTCAATTTCCTTAGTTTGGTTTTCGATCAACGCTTGTATTTCATTATAATTTTCTTGTGCCAAATATACACCATTCCGTTCACGCGCTGCTAATAAATCTCTTCTAAGTCTCTCAATTTCTTCTGTATATTCCTTAAGTAATGCTTTTTTAGATAGTTTTTGATTGATTTCTGGACGATTAGTGATATGTTTGGCACGATGAGCATAATCTAGTGTCGATAATGTTTCTTCAAGATTTATGCTTGCTGGAGATACTGTTGCAATAATTGACGTTTTTGTACGTCCACCTAACGATTCTTGCAGAAGTCTTGTTAGTTTTGATTCTCTGTAAACGACATAAAATAATAGTTAATTTTTATTTGATTATAAGATTTTTTAGTTATATTTTTGTTTATAAAATTATATTCCTATGTAAATTTCCATTACCGATATGGTATGTGAGGTGCTCTCTCAACAAGTGATGTTATAACTCGTCCAAGAGTTAATAATGATTGATTGATACTTCCAGCTTCTCTTGCTCTCCTGTCAACTGCACCAGATCTTCCAACATTTTCACTTCCAGCTAAATCCACTAAATTTAATTTTCCAGTTTTTAGAAGTTCTTCTCCATCCACATTATTTTCTTTTATATGAATAGTAATTGAAAATACTGTATGGGAACGACTAAAATAAAAAAATATTATAAGTAGTACAGAATCAATTTCAAAAAATCAATGATTAGAATATAACTTTATAATTGAAGATAACAACCTTGAATGAGCATTCATTAAAGTTGCAGCTGTTTGTCTTTTTTCTGTATCCCTTTT